AATGCGGATTTTCTTTCTAGCCAAACCCAGGGTGGGCTAGGGCTGAGTGGCAGGCCTGGCGAGCACTGCCCCTGTGGCTTGGTGATGTCCCTTCATCCTGCAGGCACAGGAGGCTTCGTCGGGGCCCCAGCCTCCCCTTCTCACCTCTGCGCCCCCGGGGGAGCCCTGGTTGGGGACAGAATCCACCACAGACCTAAGCCAGGACACTGGAGAGGCAGGGCCAGGCTGGGGACGAATTGGGGGTGGAGCAAGAAGAAGAAGAGGAGGGGCGGGCCCTGGGAGCTGCCTCCCTCCCTCCCGGTATCTCCTTTCTTCCTCCAGCCCTCGCCAAGGTCCTCTGTCCCCTTGGGCTTTCGGTCACCCGTCCCTGTACTCCGCCCGCCTGCGCGAGCAGGTCTCCTCCCGTCCCCCGCCTCTCCCTCCGCTAACCCGCAAGGCTTGCGCGCGGGCCATCTGGGACCTGGAGTGGCCCCGCTCGACGTCAGGGTGGGGAGGGGGAGAGGCGGAGCCAGAGGCGCCCGAGTGTCCTGGGGGCAGGGGGGTGGGCCCAGGAGCCCAGGGCACCGCTGGGGGCCAGAGAGGAAGGGTGCTGGAGGAGCACTGTACGTCCAGTTTGGCAGGGTGGGAAGGCGCGGGCAGAGCTCTCCCTGGCTCTGAGGACACGGGGACGCCTGGCCACCCGGGGGCAGTCCCTCGAGGCCCGTGTGTGTTGGGGAGGTGGGGCGGTGCTAGCAGCCACAGCAGACACCTTGTTGATCCCTGCGAGCCACACACCTCTGTGCTCCGTGCGGCGGTCCTCATGCGCGCCCCGACGGCGGCGCTGGGCCCCCATGCGTGCTGGTGCGGTGCCGCGGGCTCGGACCCGACCCCCTGCCCTGGCACTGCCCTCTGCGAGCCCCGATTCCCCGGCCCACTCCTTCAGCGATGAGGACAACCATCAGCGCTCGCTGGGCAGATCTGTCAGGTGGGTGGCCCAGTGGCCAGGCCCCTCGCTTTGTCTGCTGCTTTGGAGGTGGGGACCCCCTGTCGTTCTGCCTTCGGGGAGTCCCCTAAGCGGCTACTAGGGGCCTGCTGGAACCCCACTCTGTTTCCTGCCCCTAAAGGCTTCCGTGCTGCTGCAGAGGGCTTCCTGGAGGTGGCAGCTCCCCAGGAGGGAGCTAGGTCTTTCTCCCTTCACTCTCCCTGTGCCCTTAAACATGGGCCTCAGGCCCTCACCCAGGCAGCAGCCGTGGGCATCCAGTGTCACCTGGGCCGCACTCCCAGGCCCCTGGCCCGCACTCCCAGGCCCCTGGCCGCTGTCCTTAAGTCAGCTCCCCATGGGGCCTCCAACCTTAGCCCTCCTGGCTGGGGCTGCGGGGGGTTGAAAACCAGGCCGGGGCAGGGGACAGGAGGGGGGACTGGGAGAGTGTGGCCGGGACAGCCGGAGGGCATTTGGGGAATCCGCTGGCCAGACACGGGCGGGACAGTGGGGCTTATAGTTCTTGGGAGGTTCAGGGTGTTCTTGTGCTTGGCAGCCTGAGGAGGAGCCTGGGTATGCAGACCTCATGCCTACAGGGCAGAGGATTACCTGGTGCTTGCTGTGCCACCATGCAGGTGGCGCAAACCTAGCCAAGCCTGCATACCTTCCTGGGACCCCACTCCCCCACCTACACTGGAACACCGACTCTCAGGGACAGTCACAGACCCCCCACGCAAGCACCTCCCCAAGCACCCACGCACGGCCATTCCCTCACACCTGCACAGACGGGACCGTGCGTGCACGGATGCCGGCGGCCCCACACACTTCTCCCCCACGCCCGACACTCATGCACGATCCATCTCTCCTTGCACACCCAGCTCCACAAACAGCTGTGTCACCTGGCACCACGTACCCGCCTGGCAGACACGCGCCAGTCTGCCCTCAACCTCCGTGTGCCCTTCAACAGAGCAAATGCCAGGACTTTTTTTTTTTTCAGTTTCCTGACGGCTGCTTGGCACCTCTTGGGGAGGGGAGGGCGGTCGGTGAGCCAGGGAGACACCAGGCTTGAGGCCTTCTGGGTCTGCCCCGATGTTTCAGCCTTCAGTTTTGTGCTTGCCTGGCTCAAGTTCAAGTCCACATTGTTTGAGCAAGTTCATTGTCCTTTGTGTGCCTTAGGGGGGCGCGGGGGTGCTCAGGTGCTTGCAGGTGTAGCGTGTACCTTGTCGCGTTACTGGCTGTCATGCTTCCATCCCCCCTCCGCTTGTTTGCTGTTTCGCATCTGTCTGTCCTCCCTCAAGTCCCTGTGGCTTAGATCTGTCCCTGGGCTGGGACAGTGCTCCAAGGCTGATGCTTGGGGAGCCCGGGGGGGCAGACTTAAGGGGCGTGCAGAGGTGGAGAGAAGTGGACACGTGCAGTGGAGGATGGGGCCACCAGGCCACCTGAGCCTACGCGGGGTGGGGGACTTGCGTGGTTCGGTCTCCTCGGATGGAGTATGTGTGTGTGTGGCTATAATGTCAGCTGTCCGTGGGTGTGGTTTGTGGCTTTTGGGGGGGCCCCTGGGTACGTCGCTGGCTTGCCTCAGTGGCAAGAGGCAGGTTAGGCAGGCACGAGCTGCGGCAGCCTGGAGGCCTGGCCCGGTCCCGGCGCCACACTCCTGCTGCCCAGCAGACACCTGAGCCCCGCTCCCACCCCAAGGGAGTGTCCTTTCTCTCCTCGGGCCCTGCTGACGTGAGCTGAGTCCCCAGGGGCTTGTGTATGTGCGAGCTGTGCTGGCTGGGTTCACTCCTGGGACCCGTCTCTTCGTACTCCCCGGGCGATGTAAAGTGATGGTGGTGCTTTGTGGGCTGGGTGGTGGTTCGGGGGGAGCTGCTGCGTGGCCTGCCTTCCTTCCCCCCCCCCCAGTGGCTCCTAGCTGGACCCCCCAAGCAAGGCTGGGCTCAGGGCCGCCGCCCCTCGTTGCCCCTCCATGGCTTACTGTCACAGAACATCTGTCGGGTTTGTCTGGAGTCAGTGGCCCTACCTGGGCCAGCACATAGAAGGCATTTTTTTTTTAAAGATTTATTTATTTTTTATTGCAAAGTCAGATCTATACAATGAGGAGGAGAGACAGAGAGAAATATCTTCCATCCAATGATTCACTCCCCAAGTGCCCGCAGCAGCTGGAGCTGAGCCGATCCACAGCCAGGAGCCTCTTCCAGGTCTCCCACACGGGTGCAGGGTCCCCAGGCTTTGGGCCGTCCTCCACTGCTTTCCCAGGCCACAGGCAGGGAGCTGGGTGGGAAGTGGAGCAGCTGGGATTAGAACCAGGTGCCTGTTCTGTGGGATGCGGGTGCTTGGAATGGGAGGGTTAGCCACCTGAGCCATCATGCCAGGACCCTTGGGAGGCACGTGGGACAGCGGTTCATGGCAAGACCTTGATAAGGATCTTATTGTGGATCATGTGCACACACACAATGCCCCTGCTTATTCATGCCCTGCATGCCTGCAACGGCCAGGCCAGCGCCAGGTGTCCCTGTGGAGTGGGGCAGCCCGGGACACCTGCCGCCCAGAGCCGAGAGCCTGGATTGTGTCCTGGCTCCTTGATTCTGATCCTGGCAGGCAGCAGGTGGTGGCCCTGCTATGTGGGCCCCTGGTGCTCCTGGGGGAGACCCCGACATCGTCCGCGGTTGGTTCCTCTACAAGCCTGGCCCAGGCCTGGCTGTCCTCACACAAGACGGGGATGAGAGACAGCTCTCTGGCTCGCTCTGCCTTTTATGTGGAACATCTTAAAGATAAATAAATCAAACATTTGAAAGAGTGCACACGGACGTGCTGTGCTTGCTCTGCGTCCGTCGGTGGGCGCTTGGGCTGTTCCCTCTTTGGGTCTGTCGTGAGTCAGGCAGCTAGGAATGTGGGCAGACACGGTTCCGTTTGAAGCCTCTCTTCCAGTTGTCTGCACTCTGTATACATGGAAGTGGGATCAGCGTGTTTAAATTCTTCTAGAGATTTATTTATGAGGCCTGGCGCGGTAGCCTAATGGCTCAAGTCCTTGCCTTGCATGCACTGGGATCCCATATGGGTGCCAGTTTGTGTCCCAGCTGCTCCACTTCCCATCCAGTTCCCTGCTCGTGGCCTGGGAAAGCAGCGGAGGACAGGCCAAAGCCTTGGGACCCTAAACTTACATGGGAGACCCCAAAGCGGCTCCTGGCTCCTGGCTTTGGGTTGGCTCAGCTCTGGTGCGGCCACTAGGAGAGTTAACTAGCAGATGGAGGATCCTTCTGGCTATCCTCACTGTAAATCTTCTCACTGCCTAGCCAATAAAAATAGATAAAAGTTTTTTTAAAAGGAGGTTTGGAGATTTTAAGGACAAGGTCCCGGGCACCAAGGGGCTTGGGCTGCACAAAGGCTCATCAGGGCCCAAGATCGGGCTGTGGATCTCGAGGCAGAGGCCCTGAAAGCCTCAGAGGCCAATGGTGGGGCGGGCAGAGCAGCGGGCACCGTGCCCAGTGACCCAGAGCCTTGTGTTGGAATGAAGCACGCCCCCCACACCCACACACACTTGTCTGAAGGTGAAGGCTGGTAGAAGCTGGACCGCATTAAAGGCCTGTGACAAGACCCGAGAAGCTGGAGGTCTTCCCCACAGCACACTCAAACTCACAGTGGATTTGGGATTGGGACCCAAAGCCTGGGGACCCTGCACCCGTGTGGGAGAACGGGAAGAGGCTCCTGGCTCTTGACTTCGGATCAGCTCAGCTCCAGCCGTTACAGCTGCTTGTGGAGTGAACCAGTGGATGGAAGATCTTTCTCTATGTCTCTCCTTCTCTCTGTCTGTCTGACTTTCCAATAAGAATAATCTTTTTAAAATTTTCTTTACCACAAAATAGAATGGCCTTTTTGTCCCGCATCTCTCTCGCAGCACGGTGGGGCGGTGGCATTGCCCAGCGCGCGTCTCCTCTGTCTCTCACGCCCTCCACCTGCCAACCCCCCTCTGGCCAAGAGCGTCGCTGGCAGCGTGACACCCCTGCCCACTCCCCCACCTTAACACTTCCTCCCTACCGTACAGCTTCGAAGCTGAAAATGGGCCGACGCCGTCCCCGGGCCGCAGCCCGCTGGACTCGCAGGCCAGCCCTGGGCTCGTGCTGCACGCCGGGGTGGCCACCAGCCAGCGCCGAGAGTCCTTCCTCTACCGCTCTGACAGCGACTATGACACGTCGCCCAAGACCATGTCCCGCAACTCCTCGGTCACCAGTGAGGCGTGAGCAGCCCTCCCCAGCCCGCAGCCGACACACACCTACCTGCCCGCTGTCCCACCTGCACGAAGTGCCCACCCACCCAGTGCTGCCCAGGCCTGGGTCTGTGCTAGCCTCTTCCAGCGGGGGCACCCCCAGATCCGCTCTCTTTACCTCCTGCCAGCTCCTAACCCACATGGACACTCAGCTCCACTCACCCCACCAGCCCCTGCTCCCCTCCCCCAGCCCAGGGGGGCAGTTTCCCACAGTGTCCATGCCAGAGAGAGCCCCTCCTCCCCGTCCCCTCCCCCAGGACCTGACACTGTCTTCCAATCGCAGGCATGCTGAGGACCTCATTGTAACCCCGTTCGCACAGGTAAGGCCCTGTCCCTAGGTGGCGGCAGGTGGACGGGGCCACCTCTCTGGGCAGCAGACACCGCCCGTCTCACCCCACCCCACCCCCACACTGCCCAGGTGCTGGCCAGCCTTCGGAGCGTACGCAGCAACTTCTCGCTCCTGACCAATGTGCCTGTTCCCAGCAACAAGTAAGCTGAGGCTGGGCCCCATCGCCTGGGGTCACGGGGCTTACTCTCAGACCTGCTGACCAGCTGACCTCTCAGGACCTCTGGGCAGGCTGCTGCACCCTCTGGGGACCCCAAAGTCAGAGGTTATTATGGTACAGATGCAGGGGTGCAGGTGCATGGTGGTGAGGCCCCCCATACCTTCTTGCTGGGTAAATGGCAGATCCTGGGAAGGGTCCTGGAGGGAGTGTCTAGAAAGTGCCAGAACATTCCCCTGCATGTGGCAACTGCTCCATCAGTAGCAATGGCTCGTGAGGATCCTAGGGTTGGGGGGATGGCAGAGAGCTGTGCCCCCAGGGTTGGAGGGCTTGCAGGGAAGGGTGATCCAGAGAGAAGTGAGGACCTGGAATCTGCTGCCCGTTGCTTTTGCAAGTCCTGGCTGTAAGGTGGGACTCACGGAGTGGACAGGGCAGTGTCAGGAGCTGCAGGGGGGCTCACAAGGCTGGTGACTGGCCCTGTTGGTGAGAACAGGCAGCCTCTGAGCTCTGAACCCCTTTTCTCTGTAGGCGGTCACCCCTGGGCGGCCCGACCCCTGTGTGCAAGGCCACGCTGTCAGGTAACTGCGCCTGGCGGTGGGAAGGGCAGTGGGGAAGTCTCCCGTGGGGATCCCTCCTCCTGGGCGGTCCCCCATCAGTCACCCTGGGCTGGGCTGGCATGTGGGTCCTCTCGCTCACGACACCCCCCCCCCCCCGGGTACCCCATCTCCAGAGGAGACATGTCAGCAGTTGGCCCGGGAGACGCTGGAGGAGCTGGACTGGTGCCTGGAGCAACTGGAGACCATGCAGACCTACCGCTCTGTCAGCGAGATGGCCTCGCATAAGGTGTGTGTGTGTGAGGGGTGCTTGGGCGGGGCTGCTGGGCGGAACCAGTGGGCAGCGCTAGCTGCTTGACCGGACCAGTGGATGGAGCTAGGTGCTGGGCAGGACCGGTGGATGGAGCTAGGTGCTGGGCAGGACCGGTGGATGGAGCTAGGTGCTGGGCAGGACCAGTGGATGGGCCGGTAGGAAGAGCTGTTAGCTGAGCAGGAGGTGGTTGGGGCCTTAGGGTGGGACCAGGTCCTGGGAGGTGGATGGGGCATGACCAATCCCCCCTGACAGGGCCCGAAAAATGGAGCCACCATCTGGATACAACTACTGTTCCCGCTTAGGGCTGTGGGGGTCACTTCCGGTTGTACACTGTCCTTGGCTTTGGGGTCACAAGCTTGTTCGCTTGTACAGCCCGCACAGGCCCGCAGCCACAGACTCACTCCAACAGGCTGTGCGGTTGGTGGTTTGTGGGTTAGCTGCTTGCACACTGCTGTGTTGGGGTGTCGCTGTGAAGGGTGAGGTGATGGAGCAGGGCCGTGGGGATATTGTGTGTGCGGGTTGTGCAGGTGGGGGGTATGTGTGTGTGTGTGTGTCCGGGGAGTTTCAGGGTGCAGATCCGAATGTGTGTGTGCCTTTGTCAGGGAGAGGTTGCAGGTCTTGCGGCTGTCGCCTGCACAGTTCCAGGGCCGTCCTCCAGCAAGCGAGAGCTGGGAAAGCTGCTGGCGCGTGGCAGCCTTGTGGGCAGACGCCTAGTAGGAAACGAGTGTGTGGGTTGAGGTGTGTGTGTGTGTGCTGCCTTGGTTGGGGCAGGAGGTGTCTGTGGGTGGAGGCTCGTCTGGGAAGATGCGAGTCTGAGGGCGGGGTCAGGTCTCGTCCCTCGGGTGTTCCTATGCTGGTGTCAGCCTGTGTGTGTTGGGGTGAGGGTGTGTCATGTCTGTGCCTGGCACGTGTGTCTGGGTGTCTGTCCCCCGGCGTGTGTGTGTGTCTGGGTGTCTGTCTCAGGGTGTGTGTGCCTGGCACGTGTGTCTGGGTGTCTGTCCCCGGGCATGTGTGTGTGTGTGTGTCTGGGTGTCTGTCCCCAGCCGTGTGTGTGTATGTCTGTGTGTGTGTGTATGTCTGAGTGTCTCAGTGTCTGTCCCCAGCTGTGTGTGTGTGTGTGTGTGCCTGGGTGTCCCTGGGCCTGTGTGTGTCTGGGTGTGCAGCCTGCTTCTCGGGAGGGGTGTGCCTGGACACACACATGTCGCTCTGTGTTCCGCTGTCTCCCTGTAAGTGGATTGTGATGGTGTGTATGGGTGCACCTGCGTGGGTGGGATAAGTGTGTCTGGAAATGTCTGGGCTTGGGTGTGCCTCTGTGTCTGTGGCAGGGACCTGTGTGGGCCTTGCTTCCTCACCCGGAGCAGCGACACCCCCAGGTCCTGGCTGAGGCCCCGTGATCTGGATGCCCCTTTAATGCCCCCCCACCCCCGCCACCACGTGACACGGCATGCAGTCTGCCAGTGCTGCAGTGAGCCCGACGCATACACACAGGGACGGAGCCCCGCGGGCCTCCGCCGCCGCCTCCTCCCCCCACCCCTCCCTGCCCTTCCATGGTGGGCAGGGACCCCCGGCCACCGCCTCCCCCTCCAGCCTCTGCCGCAGCGGCGCCCGTCTGGGCCAGGGGCCGGCAGCACCGGAGGATGTAACCAGGGCTGCGTCGCGGGAGCGCGGAGGGGAAGGGAGCCCCCAGCCTTGCTGGGCCGGCCCAGGCCCCTCCGCAGCTCCCCTGTGCCGCTGCCACCTGCCCCACCCCGTCCCTGTGTGACTGCTAACCCCGGGGACCCCCAGGCTTCCATGTGCTGCAGCCCCGAGCGGGGCTAAGACGCCAACATGCCCTTGGTGGACTTTTTCTGCGAGACCTGCTCCAAGCCCTGGCTGGTGGGCTGGTGGGACCAGGTAGGGGAGAAGAGAGGGTGAAGGAAGTGGCTCTGGGACCCTGCAGGACCTGGGCAGGTGGGTGGGAGGGGATCATGGGGCAGGGGAAGGGGGAGCGTCATGTGTGAGCCTCAGGCACGTGCCTGGTGTTGGCAGTGACCCGGGGCTGGGTGTGCATGGCAGGTGGCTGGGGTGGGCTGCAGGGTAGGGGTTGTCCTCTGCGCTGGGGGGGCCGTGTTGAGCTCTGGCTCCCCAGCGGGTCTGCGTGCTCCCAGGTCTCTTGACCGGGTCATGCATGGCCCTGGCTCCGATCAGATGCCATGGCCCTGGCTCCGATCGGCTATCACCAGGCTGTCCCTGCGGTGCCAGGGCAGGAGAGGATGGTTCATGTCTATAGTCCCCGCCAACCTGCCCAGGACTGCCTTGCTTGTAGGTGCCCCTGGATTTGAGGGGTTGGGAGGAACCCCGGCAGGCTGGGCCTCTGTGTGTGTGTGTGCGCGCATGCATCTATGGCTTTGGGGAGCAGAAGTGGCCCCTTGCAGCCTGGGGTTCCTGCTGCCTCTCTGGACACTCTGTTTCTGATTTGGGGGTGCCTCAGCAGAGCTTGGGGGTGGGGATCAATGCCCTTTCCCTTCCTGCACAATGTCACAGCGGAGGCTTGTCACGGATGGCATGGGGGTTCAGCAGGGGCCCCACAGCAGATTCTGGGCACACCCCGTGCATCTAGGTATCTGCTTACCTCTTTGAGGTTGAGGGGGGCTATGATGGGAACCCCCTCCCCCTCTCCTGGGTGACCGAGGTGGGGTTTCATCCACTCACTCACCCTTCTCTCTTGTGACTGAGCCGGGAGACCTGTACGTCATTCTTTTTAACCTAGCCTGGGGAGAAGGGGTCGGGGAGGACCTCCCCACTGCTCTCCAGCCAGGAATTGAGGTCCGTGTTTGGGAAGACCTGGGCCAGGGCAGGTTTGGAAAAGCAAGGGTTAAAGGGGCCTCCGCTTGCCCCCCCTTCTCCTCAGCTCAGCAGCTGGTTGGAGGGGGAGTTGCTAAGGAGACTCCCATTGCCATGGCGACGGAGTCTCTGGGTACCTCATTGGCTCCCTCGTAAGCAGGAGCCCCTCCCTTCTACAGGTGCTCCTGGGGTCCTGCTGAGGGTGGGAGTAGATTAGGGGGCGCAGGGAGGTGTATGCTACCCCCCACTCCCCGAGCCTGGGGATTCCTCTTGGTTCTGGAAGGATGACAAGGACAGGGTTTTCTGCAGCCTAGCGGGGGTTCTGCTGTCAGGAGAACAGCCTCCTGACTCATGGGGTCTTCATAGAGTTTCTGGGCCCCTCTGAGGGCCCCCCTCATCCCTGCCTTCTTCCCTCGTTCCCCTTAGTTCAAGAGGATGTTAAACCGTGAGCTCACGCACCTGTCAGAAATGAGCAGGTCAGGAAACCAGGTCTCCGAGTACATTTCCACAACGTTCTTGGGTGAGTGAGGGGCTGTAGCAGGTGCAGAGGGCAGGGCCCAGGGCCGGTGTATGGGGTGCGGGGCTGTACCCCAGTCTGAATGCTGTAAACACCATCATTCCCAGAAGGCCAACGTAATCACACACAGGTCAAGGGCACCCCCTAATCCTATTGCCTTTCCGAAACCCGATGGAACCCTCAAACTGCAGATGCCAAATGGAATTCCTAAGGGTCGGGAAGCACCCCCACCCACCGGAACCCAGCAGAGCCAAAAATGAAATAGACATCAGAACTTGGATTGGCACCCCCATGGGGAAGGCCCGTCCAGGCTGCTTGGGGTCCCGCCACCCCCATGGGAGGCCTGGCTGGAGTGCCTGGCTCCTGGCTTCAGCCTGTGGCAGCCTCTGGAGAATTCACACACATGGGGCTTTGTGCCCTGACCCTGTCTTTATGTCTCTGCCTTTCTAATAAAATGTTTTTACAAAGATGCCTGCAAAAGCCTCCCAAACTTTAAAGGATCTTCAAGCTAAAAACAACACAAAACGAAACAAAGCAAGAACTGCAGCTAGAACACCCCCGAGCTGGGTTGGGATATTTCCATACTCAACAGATCCCCAAACTCGATTGCATTCTCACGCTTAACAACCTGTGAGTCCTCAAAGTTAGGAGAATTTCCTGTTCCAGTGGAGCCCCCAGTGCAACAGAACACCTCAAACTCCCCAAACTCACAACATCCCCCAGTCCAGGAGACCCCCCCCCATCTCCCAAGGTGTACACACACACACACACACACACACACACACACCCCACTCCAGAAGTTCCAATGCTCCATGAGGGTGTGGCTTGTGCTAGAAATCTGAGGATGCAGCCAATGGGGACACCGTATGCAAATGCCCCCCTTGGGCCCATTCATTGGCCAGCCAGCCACCACAGGTCACAATGGGGGGTCTTGGCTGGACTCCAGAGACCCCTTGGGAGCTTTAGGAGAGGTTTCTCCTGGGGGCGGCTGGCCCCCAGGCCTGGCGTCCAGCAGGGTGGGGGGGCCATGGATTCCAAAACCCCTGTCCCCTCCCTCCTCCCAGCAGTTGCCCCCCTCACCAGCCCACTCAGCCAACATGGGGGCATCTTCCCTACCCTCGATTCTTCCCTGAGCATCCGGGGCAAACAGCTTCTCTCGCTCACGGCCCCGCCCCAACTCCTGGTCCCCCAGCACCCCAGCTTCCCGCCCAACACCGTGATGGGAGTAGGCCCCCCACATAGCCCTGGGCTGGCCCCAGGGTCCCCACTGCAACCCAGCACTTCCCAAAGGGGGACATCTGTCTCTGGTTGGCAGAAGGTGTCTACGCTTCGTGGTGATTTTGCTAGGATGGCTGGGTGGGCCGGGGTGTGTGGGGGGGAGGTGTATGTGCTGCAAGGGGCATGGAGGGGGTGGGATGTGGGGCGCTCATGCTGGCCCCTTCTGCCATCTTCAGAGAAGCAGAATGAGGTGGAGATCCCGTCGCCCACTTCCAAGGAGCGGGAGGCAGCACTGCCACGACAGAAACTCTGCCAGCATCCCCCGAGCCCGGCCCCCCAGCTGCAGTCCATGTCTCAGATTACGGGGGTGAAAAGGGTCGCTCGCAGCAGCAGCCTCAGCAACACCAGTGTCCCCCGCTTTGGGGTGAAGACCGACCAGGAGGAGCTCCTGGCCCAAGTGGGTGTGGGCCGGGCACGTGAGGGGAGTGGGGGCAGCTGGGACCCCCAGACGCACTGGGCATTGAGTCACACAGAGGGAGATTTAGCACCTGCTGGTCCATGAGCCAAATGTTTAGAACAGTCTGGGCTGGCTCAGTGCGAAGCCAGGAGCTGGGGACTCCACCCAGGGCTTCCCCCCAAGGATGGGCAGCTGGATTGGAAGAACTTGAACCAGGCATTCTGGAGTGGCCGATGGATCTCCTCGGTGGCCCTGTCGTCCCCCAGTGAGCCCCCCTTCTTGCAAGTGACCCGTCCAGTCAGGCAGTGCTTGCTAAACACTGACCCCGTGCACCTGTATCTTTCTGTCTCTCCCCATAAGCCCCAAGCACTCAGGAGCAGCTTAGCATAGCTTAAAGGCCCAGCTGTGGTAGGGTTCCCCATCGCAGCCTTGTTATTCGGGAGCCGGGAGTTCCTGGAGGCATCGCCGCCCTCCTCTGAGCCGTGCGGACTCCTTGCCTGCCAAGTGAGACACCCAGGGCTTGGTGACGGGGCCTGAGGCCGCTCTGTGCCTTTGCAGCCAGGGTGGTGAGCAGTGAGTGCTGTGTGACGCTTCCTGCTGACTCCTGGAGTGTGGGTCACGAAGCCCTTGCGCCTGGCCGACCCCTGACCCCTGACCTCTGACGTCTCTTGTCAGGAACTGGAGAACTTAAGCAAGTGGGGCCTGAACATCTTTTGTGTGTCTGATTACGCCGGAGGACGCTCCCTCAGCTGCGTCATGTACACCATCTTCCAGGTGATGGGGGGCCTCAGAGAGGACGGAGCTCGGGGCATTGTGTGGCCAGCAGGGGCCACCACCGCCCTGTCCCCCTTGGTGGTCCCCAGGAGCGGGACCTGCTCAAGAAATTCCGTATCCCCGTGGACACCATGGTGACGTATGTGCGGACCCTGGAGGACCACTACCACAAAGACGTGGCCTACCACAACAGCCTGCACGCAGCCGACGTGTTGCAGTCCACCCACGTGCTGCTGGCCACGCCTGCGCTGGACGTGAGTCCCGCCAGCTCTCCCAGGGAGCTGTTCTGTGTGTGTCGCTGACCTCCGACCCAGCCCTCTCTCTAATCATCTCTCTCCCCACCCTACCCCTCCCTCTGGCCCCCATCATCTCTCCTTGGGACCCTACCCTCCATGGCCGTCACTCTGACTTCTCTGTGTCCCCAGGCCGTGTTCACGGACCTTGAGATCCTCGCTGCCCTGTTCGCCGCTGCCATCCACGACGTGGACCACCCTGGGGTCTCCAACCAGTTCCTCATCAATACCAGTGCGTGGATTTACCCGGAGGGGGGCCTGGGCTGAGCCGGGGGCGGGATGGGTGGCCTGCAGGCGCGCTCCCCGCCTGGGCTCCGTCCTGACCGTCCCGGGCTTGCAGACTCGGAGCTGGCACTCATGTACAATGACGAGTCGGTGCTGGAGAACCACCACCTGGCCGTGGGCTTCAAGCTCCTGCAAGAGGACAACTGTGACATCTTCCAGAACCTCAGCAAGCGGCAGCGGCAGAGCCTGCGCAAGATGGTCATTGACATGGTAGGTGGGACAGGGCGGGAGAGGCAGCCCCCGGGGCCAGGGGCGGGGGGCAGCTTCCAGCAGGGAACCGGGGGGCTCTGGCAGGTGGCGGCCCCCGTGACGCCCCTGCCCCGTGCCCACAGGTGCTGGCCACGGACATGTCCAAGCACATGACCCTCCTGGCCGACCTGAAGACCATGGTGGAGACCAAGAAAGTGACTAGTTCGGGGGTGCTCCTGCTGGACAACTACGCCGACCGCATCCAGGTGCCACCACCTCACCGCCGGAGAAGATGGGGCCCGCTCCCCTGCCCCGCGGGCTCCCATGCGACCCCCTCCTTCTCCTGCCCTGACTCCCCGACTTCCCCAGGCCAGGTGCAGATTCTGAGGGTCCTCGTACCCCCACAGGTCCTAAGGAACATGGTACACTGTGCAGACCTGAGCAACCCCACAAAGCCACTGGAGCTGTACCGTCAGTGGACAGACCGCATCATGGCAGAGTTCTTCCAGCAGGGCGACCGCGAGCGGGAGCGGGGCATGGAGATCAGCCCCATGTGTGACAAGCACACGGCCTCGGTGGAGAAGTCCCAGGTACCGTGCAGGGGCCGTGGAGGTGGGCAGCACAGGAGCTCCTGAGCCGGCCGTCCCCACATCACGTTTTCTTCTTTTGTGTAAGAGTTTATTGATTTTGAAGAGCACAGTTACAGCATTCCTGGTTCTGTGCTTAAGGGCTGTGACGGCTGGGGCTGGGACTCCACGTGGGTGCAGGGCTGGGGCTGTGACGGCTGGGGCTGGGACTCCACGTGGGTGCAGGGCTGGGGCTGTGACGGCTGGGGCTGGGACTCCCACGTGGGTGCAGGGCCCTGGGTACCTGTGCCATCCTCCACTGCCTTCCCAGACACATCAGAGGGAGCCGGGTGGGAGGCGGAGCAAGGGGCCTGCAGGCGCTGCAGGGGCAGCTTAGTGTGCTGAGCCCCAACAGGGGCCCTGTTTGTTTTTATCCTGCTGGACAGGACTGTCTGAATGTCTGAACCCGGCCTTTGCAGGTCGTTCTCATGCTTAGGGCACACACCAGGCTCTCTCTCTTCTCTCTTCTTTCCTTCCAAACTTCCTTTTATTGGAGCTAGTAGGAAACGGAGATTTGCTTTCTCAGCCGGCTGGTTCAGTCAATTGGGGTTGGTCCAAGAGCCCAGCATTCCTGCGGGTTGCCCCATGTCAGAAGAGTCTAGAGAAGGGTGGAGCTGGCCGCTCGGGGCTGTCATGTCCCTCTCTTCCTGCGCCCCTGCAGCCAGCACTTCTGTTCTCAGAGGTGCCTCTTGTGCTCAACGTGGCTGCCAAAACCTCAGCCAGGGCAGCTGCCTTGCAGGAGAGAGGCCGGCTGAGGCAGCCCCTGTGGGCTGGTACAGGTGGCCACATGAGACAGACCAGGCCACTGTTCATGATGTCACTTCCTCCTCATTGCGAACAGTGCCATAACGCTCTGTCCTAAGCCAGCTACTTGTGGTGTACACAAAGCTGTTGCCATTTGTGTTTTCGTCTTACGGGTGATGTATTTTTTGGCTGGTGCCAGAATAAGCCAGGAGCCTCTCCTGGGTCTCCCACGTGGGTGCAGGGTCCCCAGGCTTTGGGCCGTCCTCTACTGCTCTCCCAGGCCACAGGCAGGGAGCTGGGTGGGAAGTGGAGCAGCCGGGATTAGAACCGGCGTCCCTGTGGGATGCTGCCTCGGCAGGCTGCGCTGCGATTCCCCTGTCTGCACTCCTCCCTGCCAGGTGGGATTCATCGATTACATTGTACACCCCCTGTGGGAGACGTGGGCAGACCTTGTCCACCCAGATGCCCAGGAGATCTTGGACACGCTGGAAGACAACCGGAGCTGGTATTACAGCGCCATCCGGCAGAGCCCGTCGCCACCTCCCGAGGATGAGCTGGGAGGCCCGGGCCGGCCCGGCCCGCCGGAGAAGTTCCAGTTTGAGCTGACGCTGGAGGAGGAGGAAGAGGAGGAGGCCTGCACGACCCAGATCCCGTTCACACCATCCCAGGGTGCGCTGGCACTGCAGGAAGCACCCACGCCTGTGGACATCACAGCCACCCGGGAGGCCTCCCTGGTGGCGGCGGCTGCTGCGGAACCGGCTGGGGTCCCAGAGGACCAGGACGAGACCTCAGGGATGCGATCCCGTGGCATGCACCTGCCACAGCTGTCAGACTCCGTGTGCGGCCTACGCGACTGCCCGGATGCCCGGGCCCTGGAGAGCCCCCCTCTGCCCGGCTTGAGGACCCTGCCTCTCCCGGAGGACACCCCGGGCCTGCCGGGCCTCCCCTCCATGGCAGCCGAGGTGGGGGCCCAAAGAGAGCAGCAGGCTGCCCAAGGGACTCCTCGAGACGCCCTTCCCGCGGGCCCAGCCCTGCCGGGGGACCCCCCTTGAGCGCCCCCTCACCCTGCTGCTGTCCCCAGCCCCCTCCACCAGTGCTGCCCCCCCACCTCCTCTGCCTCAAAGACTTGTGCCCCGCCCTGAGAAAAAAAGAACAGAAAAGTGGGGTTTTTTCTCTTGTTTGCCCCCTTTTCCTCTCTGCCCCCCACTGCCCCAGCCATGGGTTTTCAATTTCTTTCTTTTTTTTTTTTGTGAATTGGGGGGTTGGGGAACGAGGAGGCTGAGGTGTGTCCCAGAAGGGATTTTATTTTTTTGAATTTAATTATTGTAACGTTTTTAGAAAAAGACCAAAAAAAGAAAAAAAAAAGCACACAGAAGCTGTAGACGCCCCCATTCCTGGTTCCCCAGTCCTCACCCCGCCCCTCCACAAGTTCAAGGCTCCGTCTTCCAGCCCGAGGCCGCGAGCAGGTGTGGGGCCTTCTGTTGAATCCTGGAAGGTTCTAGAACCTGGCCAGACATAGCCATTTCCGGCAGAGCCAGCTGAGGGGGTTCACTGGAGGAGCTCCCCTCTGCCTGCCGCCCCTCGTCCCCTGCCCCTAAAAGTCTTCCACCTCATTTTGCACAAGCCCGGCCGAGCCGACTGGGAGGGCAGGGGCGTGTCCAGGGGCCAGGGATGCCAGTGGGAAGGCAGAGCCCCCCACGACCCCCGCTTGCCGCCCAGCCCCTCCTTGCCCACGTCCCTGCCCGGGGGAGGGGCCGCTTGTAAGACACAGGCATCACCCCCCCTCTTCCAACTGCTTCTCCACGTGTTTCTGCCTTAAAGGTTCTCACGGCCACGGGACAGTGGCCAGCAAGTGGTTCCCGGCGGCACCTGGCATGGGGCGCGGCCGGGCGCCACTCGCGGGCCACCTCTCCCCCTGCCCGACCTTCCTGCGTCTCGACCCCTTTGCCCTAGGAGGAAGCAATAATGGGGTACACGCCATCCCCCTGCCACCCCCTTCCTGGGCAGCCCTCCGTCTCCTCCGTCCCTAACCCCGCCAGTCCCTGAGCGATAGGACAGACAGCTAAAAGGCCATCTTTCTCCAAGCCATGGGGGACAATTGGGAAAGAGAGACAGCCCCCACCTGCCCCACGGTGCCAGCTCCCTCTGCTGCTCCCGGCAGGGCAGTGCCCATGCGGTGCGTTGCAGCCCCCACACGCCCCCGACCCGGAGCACACAGGTACTGTAGCCCCGCTCCCCAGCCTTCCCGTCTGCCCTCCCGGTTCCTATGCCGCTCCTCTACACGGCTCATTTTGTAGCAAAAAGTGGTTGCTGTCCCAGCCGGGGAGGTCTTTCGTTTGTTTAATTCTTTCTTTCTTTTTTTTTTTTTTTGTACAGACTGTCAGGTTGCTTTGTAAATTATTCTACAGAGTTCAAATGAAAACGTGAAGCAGTCCTTCCTGTTGGGGGAGGGGGCCCCGCTGTATTCTCTCCACTCTTCCCGGCCCCCCTGGGAACTCGGTCGCCCAGCGGTGGTTGGACAGGAAGCTGTGTCCTCCCCCGGGGGTGAGGGCTTGGTGGGTAGGAGACCGGGGCAGCTGGCACGGCGGGTCCCTGGGAGTGGCCTGTGTGTGGTCCATTGACGATCCGTCCGTCGAGCGGTAATCCTTCCATCTTGTCGCCAATTAAACTGAGGCTTTTGCCCATCATTGGCTGGTGTGGCTTCATTTCCTACTTTAAAAAAATATATTTATTTATATTGGAGAGTCAGATATACAGAAATGAGGAGAGATAGGAAAATCTTCAGTCCTCTAATTCACTCTCCAAGGGGCCTCAATGGTCGGAGCTGAGCTGATCCGAAGCCAGGAACCAGGAGCCTCCTCCAGGTCTCCCACGCGGGTGCAGGGTCCCAAGGCTTTGGGCCGTCCTCACTGCTCTCCCAGGCCACAGGCAGGGAGCCGGGTGGGAAGCGGTCTCCTGGATTAGAATCGGCAGCCCTATGGGATCCCGGTGCATGCAAGGCCAGGGCTTGAGCCGCTGGGACCACCCTGTGCCCCATTTCCTGTTTCATTTCGCCTTCCCGAGGGGAAGCGGTGTCCGTAGCCTGTCCTGCCTCCCCAGGAGTTCACCCAGAGGCAGCTTCCCTCAAGCTGCCAGCTCAGGCCTGGGCCTCACGCCTGGCCCAGCCCCTGGCGTCTGAGCTCAAGGACGTCAAGTGCAAGGTCAGGCCATGGGTCATTTTGTTTCATCGTGTGGCTGTGCTCCTGCAGGTGGAGCTGCATATAGAGATAGATGGTGCACCTTGCTGGGGTTCACTCCCCGGGTGGCCGTGGTAGCTGGAGCTGGGCCTGGCTGGAGCCAGGAGCCTGGAGCTGCACGCGGGTCTCCAGCATGGGCGGCAGCTTCAACTGCCTCCTGGATGTGCTAGCAGGAAGCTAGAGCGAGGAGCCAGGCCCTCAGCTGTGGAACGTGACTCCTCACCACAGGCCAACCTCCAGAAGCACAGAATCGAAAGATTTGTTTTTATTGATTTCAAAGCGAGAGAGAGGATGAGAGAGAAATGGCTGTGGTATGCCAGGGCAGAGCCGGGCTGGCACCTGGAGCCGGCAGTCCCATCAGGGTTTCCCACGTGGTGGCGGGGGCCCAGGGAGTGGGCCGTCAGCGGTTAACCTCCAAAGAGTTAGACATGAAGTAGAACAGCCAGGACTCCACCTACACGATGCCAACACCTCAAGGAGGGGCTTCACCCACTCGGCCACGACCCTGAGCCTGGGGCAGCCGTATTGCCTTTGCATCGGGTAGCCACCCCGTATGTCCAGGGGCTTCGTATCAGGCTGTGCTACTCCCAGTAGTAAGCCAAAGGGTTCCACACCCAGGGGACTTCTGTCCTGGTGCCAGGAGCGGGAGGGGCTGACTCGCAGTGGACACAGGCCTGGGGCCAGCCGGACCCGACAGTAGGTGACGGGAACCGTGTGACACGTCCTCCCCGGGGAGCAGCCGAGCGCCGCGGAGTCAGGCAGAGGGCACGGGGCTGCGGGTCAGGAAGTCGGGGGCGAATCCCAGCCGGCCAGGGAGGGGAACCCCCTCTCCCCGGGGTCCCCGTGTCCCCAAGGCTCACGGGACAGAGGGGATGTCCCCAACGCTCGGGTGTCTAGGGACACGGTGACATCAGGGCATGTGGGTCAAAGGGAAGAGACATGTGACCATCGAGCTGGCCCGGGGGTGGGGGTGCGTTCAGCTCGGTTCAGGCAAAAGGTGACTTCGGGCAAGCAGAGACCTGGGCCAGGCCTGGGGACTGGGCAAGAGGTGGAGCCAGAATTTTTGTGGAAAGATTTTTATTTTTATCAGAAACTCAGATTCCATCCTTTAATTCACTCCCCAAGTGACTGAAACAGCCAGAGTTGAGCCGATCCAAAGCCGATCAGGAGCCAGGAGCCTCTTCCGGGTCTCCCCCGCGGGTGCAGGGTCCCCAGGCTGTGGGCCGTCCTCCACTGCTTTCCCAGGCCACAGGCAGGGAGCTGGGTGGGAAGTGGTGCCACTGGGATGAGAATAGGGTCCATATGGGATCTGAGTGTGTGCAAGACGAGGACCTTAGCCACTATGCTATTGTGCTGGGCCCACACAAAATCTTTAAATAGAATCAAATTTTGTATGTGTTTAAAAGGCAGAGGGAGAGAAGGCATTTCCATTTGCCGGTTCATCTCCACATGAGAAAGACAGCCAGGCCAGGAGCCTGGCACTCCATCCAGGGCTTCCATCTGGGTGGCTGGGGCCGAGCTCCTGGGCCCTCTCTGCTGCCTTCACATGCATAGGGAGCTGCATCAGAGGTGGAGCAGCCAGGATTTGAACCGGTGCTCGTATGGGATACCAGCTGGCAGGCAGCAGGCTGGCCCACAGTACTACAGTGACAGCTGCATGTGGGCAGTGTGTCCCTGCCTTTGGAGGGCGTCCGCATGCCATGGGGCTCTCCCCCACGCTCCCCTCGTTGAGACAGACACCATGCCAAACTGCCCTTGGCCCCGAGAGATAAGGCGGGCTTCTCGCATCACCACCTCTTCGCGATGGAGAGGCACCCGCTGCTGTACTTCCTGCGAGATGCATGTGGGCAGCGTCTTCCCTTCTTCGATAGCAAAACACAAACAAAAAAGCAAAACCAAGCCAGAAGGGAGTGGTGGCGACTGCGCTGTGCTCGGGATGTGCGTGCCTGGGTCCCAGGCCAGCTGTGCTCCCACAAACGCGTCCTTGGAGAGGCAGCAGGTGTTGCTCAGAGCCACCACCCAGATGTGGGGCCCAGACGGAGTTCTAAGACCCTCTGCTTTCCATCTGGTTCTGCCCAGGCTGTTGCAGCATCTGTGAATCAACGGGTGCGAGACACTCTGCCTTTCGAAACACCTGTTTTGCAAAGAAAAAGAAATGTGTCTGTCAAAATCCGAACAAAGTCTCTCCCATTGGTGGGACGAGAGAAATCTGTGTTTTCCGTTGTGGGGTCTTGGGTGTTTCTAGAATTTGTTGTTTTTGCAGACAGGAGCTGGAGCTGCTGCTTTGGTCAGGAGAGAGCTAAGCCATGGCGGCCTCGCCCTCTGGAAGGTGGGGGGTCTGCCTGGGGTCTGCCTGGGGTCTGCCTGGGGTCTGCCTGGGGTCTGCCTGGGGGTCTGCCTGGAGTCTGCCTGGGGTCTGACTGGGCCCTGACCCGGGCCTTACTGGGGTCCGACTGGGCCCTGACCCGGGCCTTACTGGGGTCCGACTGGGCCCTGACCCGGGCCTTACTGGGGTCTGACTGGGCCCTGACCCGGGCCTTACTGGGGTCTGACTGGGCCCTGACCCGGGCCTTACTGGGGTCTGACTCGGGCCTTACTGGGGTCCGACTGGGCCTTACTGGGGTCTGCCTGGGCCCTTACCCGGGCCTTACTGGGGTCTGACTCAGGCCTTACTGGGACCTGACTCGGGCCTTACTGGGACCTGACCCGGGCCTTACTGGGGTCCGACTGGGCCCTGACCCGGGCCTTACTGGGACCTGACTCGGGGCTTACTGGGGCCTTACTGGGACCTGACCCGGGCCTTACTGGGGTCTGACTGGGGTTTGACTGGGGTCTGACTGGGGTCTGCCTGGGGTCTGCCTGGGCCCTGACTCGGGCCTTACTGGGGTCTGACTGGGGTCTGACCCGGGCCTTACTGGGGCCTTACTGGGACCTGACCCGGGCCTTACTGGGGTCCGACTGGGCCCTGACCCGGGCCTTACTGGGGTCTGACCCGGGCCTTACTGGGGCCTTACTGGGACCTGACCCGGGCCTTACTGGGGTCTGACCCGGGCCTTACTGGGGTCCGACTGGGCCCTGACCGCCGGGGAGTAACTCCGTTTTCCTGCACCTGTTCTGAGCTCCGGCCCCGCCCGTCGGAAACACGCCAGGAGCAGGCCTAGCGCGCCCCCTCGCGGCGGACCGCGGAACCTGCAGCGGGCGCCTGCCGCGGCGCACGCGCACCAAGGGGGGTGGGGGCGTGGCGAGGGCTCGTGGGCAGGCGCTGCGATTGGCCCGCGTGGTTGTGAGTGGCCGGGGAGCCAGCCAATAAGAGGCCGTGCCGCCTCAGGCCGGGCGCGTGACGCGTGAGGTGGTGAGGAGAGCCCGGGGTCCCGGCTTCCTGCCCGGGGGTCGCCGGCGTCGTGTCTTCTCTGTGTAAGTGGACCCCGGCGTCGTTCTTCCCCAAGAGCGCCCTTGTCCCTGCGGTGGCCCGGGGGCAGCCCTTGGCGGGCTCCTGACGTCATCCCTCCGGATGGCGTCATCCCCGTGACAAACCCGTCATCGCTGGCCTTCCCTCTGCTGCTGCGGGAGGGCCGAGCGTCTTCGTCGGGGCAGTTACGGGCCGGGCGGTCCTTCCCGCGGTCACGTCTCCCTCCCTTCCCGTGGGGGAGCGACCCCTTAGAGCTCCCACAGGGGCGCAGGTTCGAGTCCCGGCTGCTCCACTTCCCACCCAGCTCCCTGCCTGTGGCCTGGGAAAGCAGTGGGGACGGCAAAGCCTTGGTCCCCAAAGGTGTGAGAAGGTTGGTCCATGTCCCCCCAAATCCTCCTGGGTGGAAACTGAGGCCTGGGGTGATGGACGGGGTGGGAAGGAAGTGAGGGGCTGGAGACTGTGGGCGGAGTGTGATGCCATCAAAAAGCCATGCTCCTGCACGGGGCTGAGCGAAGCCACCTGGGAGAGAAGTTTCTGGAAGACCCAGTCAGGGGCGACCGTGTGTCTCGTGGGGCGAGTGAGTCCACGCGTGTTCCGGTGCGAGTGGGGCTTGAGTGGAGGGCACAGTGAAGGACAGAGAGGCTATTCTAGAAGGAACTCGAATCCCGCAGCCGCCGAGGAAGGATTGGACGCGTGCGTGGGGTGCACGTGGCCTGGGTGTGGGGTCCAGCGGGGGGGGTGCTGGACTTTGAACTTGGCCAGAGGATGCTGCGATGCGGTGTGGGTCACTGCGCTGTGAATACTCCGTAGTATCTGTGTAAAGTGCCGTCCTCTGAAGGGGGTTGCTCTGGGTCCTCAGTCACTTCTGTAAAAAGGAGGAACGGCTTTGGGGTGCACTGTGCTAAACCAAACTGCAGCGCCCGGGATCCCACAGGGATCCGAGTCCCGGCTGCTCCACTTCCCACCCAGCTCCCTGCCTGTGGCCTGGGAAAGCAGTGGGGGACGGCCCACAGCCTGGGGACCCTGCACCCGTGTGCCAGACCTGGAAGAGGCTCCTGGCTCCTGGCTCCCAGCTCAGCTCTGGCCACTGCGCTCACTTGGGGAGTGAATTATCGGACGGAAGATCTTCCTCTCTGTGTCTCCTCCTCTCTGTATATCTGACTTTCCAACAAAAATAAATTAAAAAAAAAAAAAAGGCAAGGTTACAGGGAGAGAAAGGGTGGCACAGTACAGAGAGGAATTTGTCAGCCTCGTTGACTGCCCTGGCCGAGGCTGGGTCGGGGGGAACCTGGAAGCCATCTGCGTGCCCCACGTGGGTCGCAGGGACGCAGGGCGTCTGCTGCCTTCCTGAGCACGTGAGCAGGGAGCGAGAGCAGAAGTGGCGCCCTTGGGGGATGCCAGCGCTGCGGGGCAGCGTCGCCTGTCTGCTTTGGATGTCCCTTTGGGTGTCTTGCTGCAGCCTTGAGGGGCGGGAGGTGCAGGTCCCAGGTCGCTGGGGCGCGTCCCGGAGCGGGCTGTCACCGCCTGCGTTGGCTCTCACCTCTGCTGCCCGGGTGGCCCTGGCCAGCGGCTCGGTCGCTCTCAGTGCCCTGGCGAGGCACCAGGCCCGGGCCCAACCATCACGTGGCAGCCACTGGCACCCAGGGTGCGGTGTGCTTAGCCGGTGCTGTCCGGTGAGCCGGGAGGTGCTTGCTCAGCACGACCTGGAGGTCCTCTCGCCTTTGTCTCTCTCTCCATGCTGAAGTTCCTGGCTCCTGGCTTCGGATGGGTTCAGCTCCGGCCGTTGCAGTCATTTGGGGAGTGAATCAGGTGACAGAAGATCTTCCTCTCTGTCTCTCCTCCTCTCTGTATATATTTGACTTTCCAATAAAAAAAAAAAAAAATCTGGACCCGGCTGTGTGGCCTAGTGGCTAAAGTCCTCGCCTTGAACGCATCAGGATCCCATATGGGCGCCAGTTCTAGTCCCGGCTGCTCCACTTCCCATCCAGCTCCCTGCCTGTGGCCTGGGAAAGCAGTGGAGGACGGCCCAAAGCCTTGGGACCCTGCACCCGTGTGCCAGACCTGGAAGAGGCTCCTGGCTCCTGGCTCTGGATCGGCTCAGCTCTGGCTATTGCGGTCATTTGGGGAGTGAATCAGCGGACAGGAGATCTTCCTCTCTGTCTCTCCTCCTCTCTGTAGATCTGACTTTCCAATAAAAATAAATAAATCTTTAAAAAAAAAATCTTAAGACAAAGAATATCCAGTATCTCGTCTCTGCGCTCCGAGCAGCCCGTGAACGCCCACGCTCGGCCTACATGCCATCTTTCCGCTATGTCCAGCACAAATAGGAAGGCCCTGCAGAGCGCTTAACAGAATCGCTTAGTAAGTTCAGGAAGAGGCGTTTGGTGCCCTGGTTAGCATGCCATGTAGCATGCCCGGACCCCGTATTGAGGCGTCAGGCCGAGTGGTTGGGGGCTGGGAAGATCTACCACCAGCTGGCTCACTTGTCCCGATGGGGCAGGGCCGTCCTGGGCCATTCCGATCTAGCTGGCGGGCAGGGACCGAGCCCTGGAGCCGGCTCCCACTGCTTCCCAAGGAGCAGCTGGGAACTGAACTAGTATTCACTGGGGAGGCCAGCATTGCAGGTGGTAGCTTAAGCCGCTGCCCACCCTCCACCCTGGCCCCACTTGGGTCTCCAGCCAAGCTGAAGGGCAGCAGGTGGTCACTCCAGCACGTGGCTCCCGACTCCAGGACCGGTCCAGTCGTGGCCATCGTGGGCGCTTACACCGGATCAGCAGATGGAAGATTCCCGCCCCTCTGCCTTTCAAATTGCAACTTAAAAAAAATGATTGATTTGGAAGGCACCGTTATACAGAAAGCTTCCATCAGCGGTTCATGCCCCATACGGCCACCGTGGCCGCGGCTGGGCCAGGAGCTCCATGTGGGTGTCCCCCTGGACGCAGGGGCCCAAGCACATGGCCATCCTCCTCCACTCTCCCAAGCCCTTTATCCCTGGAGTCAGGTAGGAAGCGCAGCAGCCAGGACTCAAACCGGCCCCCTTGGGGGATGCCGATGCCACAGGCAGCAGTTTAACTTGCTACACCACAGCACAGGCCCCACGACTTTTGAAAAGATTCATTTTTATTGGAAAGGTAGATTTACAGAGAGAAGGAGAGAGAGAGGGGAAGATCTTCCATTAGTTGGTTCATTCTCCAAACAGCTGCTACAGCCGGTGCTGAGCAGGCCAGAAGCCAGGAGCCAGGAGCTTCTTCCGGCTAGCCTCTGCTGCTTTCCCAGGCCACAGCAGGGAGCTGGATGGGAAGTCCAACTTGCATTCGAACTGGGCCCTTACGGGGTCCCAGTACTTGACTTGGGAGGCCTAGTTAACTGAGCCGCTGTGCTGGGCTCAACTTTTTTTCTTTCAGATGTTTATTTTGGTGCTAAGAAAATTTGAAATCCATGCACGCGAGGGGTTCTTCAAGTTGCTCATCAAAAATATATATATTACGGAAGACAGAGCAGAGGTTTCCATGCTTTCTCGCCACCAAAATAAAAGCCCTTTCCGTGTTCCGTTTTTCCACGGAGCCTTTGCGTGTCCTGAGCGCGCCTGGCCGCTGCTGGCCGCTGGGCGCCAGCCTGTCACACCTCCCAGTTGAGAGCTCGGCTGGAAGACGCTGGTTAGTTTGTTCTTTATTTGCATGGGAAAGTTACAAAGTTACTTATCAACAAAGGGACTTGTCCAGGGCAGAGAAATCCAAACCCTGCCCCTTCTCGTGTCCCGCCCCAGGTCCTCAGGTGGCCCCTTCCCCGGGTCAGGGGCCAGGGAGCCGGGCACAGAGCGCCTGACTGCAGGCTGGTTTGCGGGAGGGACCCAGGCTTTCAGTCTCTAGCTAGTGGGGCAGCCGGGCCTCCCCTGGCAGCCTCGGGCAGGCTGTGCGCGATGCCCTGGGGCGAGGGGGTGCCCGCCTGCCGTCCGCTTTAGTCCTCTTCTTGGGGGAGGTCGCAGTGTCTCCCTGCTGCCGTCAGGCCCGCGTGTGACAAAGAGAAGACAGTACCCCACGGGCGGAGCCTTCCGGTCTCTGTTTTTTGGGCGTTTTGGGGTTTTTTTTTTTTGCCCTTTCCTTCCCATGAACGCCAACAGGCCGCTTCAACAGGTGCAGTTCTGCTGGTCAACCTGCTTCCGGCAGGGCTCCATGGTGACCGCGACGCCCACCCCGCTGCGGCCGGATGTCATACGGGTCACCTCGCTCCAGGTGTCCGTGTCCGGGTCATAGCACTCCACGCTGTCCAGGAAGGTGTGACCATCGTAGCCTCCTGCCCAAGGGGATGAGGTAGATGGCCACATCACATGCCACTCTGCCCCGGGGACAGAGGGGCGCCTGTCCACCCCTCCCTCCTCCCCAGGGACAGAGGGGCCGCCTGTCCACCCCTCCCTCCTCCCCAGGGACAGAGGGGCCACCTGCCCGGCCCTCCCTCCTCCCCAGGGACAGAGGGGCCACCTGCCCGGCCCTCCCTCCTCCCCAGGGACAGAGGGGCCACCTGTCCACCCCTCCCTCCTCCCCAGGGACAGAGGGGCCACCTGCCCGGCCCTCCCTCCTCCCTCCTCCCCAGGGACAGAGGGGCGCCTGTCCACCCCTCCCTCCTCCCCAGGGACAGAGGGGCGCCTGTCCACCCCTCCCTCCTCCCCAGGGACAGAGGGGCCACCTGCCCGGCCCTCCCTCCTCCCCAGGGACAGAGGGGCTGCCTGTCCAGCTCTCCCTCCTCCCCAGGGACAGAGGGGCGCCTGTCCACCCCTCCCTCCTCCCTCCTCCCCAGGGACAGAGGGGCCACCTGCCCGGCCCTCCCTCCTCCCCAGGGACAGAGGGGCGCCTGTCCACCCCTCCCTCCTCCCTCCTCCCCAGGGACAGAGGGGCCACCTGCCCGGCCCTCCCCCCTCCCTCCTCCCCAGGGACAGAGGGGCGCCTGTCCACCCCTCCCTCCTCCCCAGGGACAGAGGGGCCACCTGCCCGGCCCTCCCTCCTCCCCAGGGACAGAGGGGCCACCTGCCCGGCCCTCCCTCCTCCCCAGGGACAGAGGGGCTGCCTGTCCGGCCCTCCCTCCACCCCAGGGACAGAGGGGCTGCCTGTCCAGCTCTCCCCCTTCCCTCCTCCCCAGGGACAGAGGGGCCACCTGCCCGGCCCTCCCTCCTCCCCAGGGACAGAGGGGCCACCTGCCCGGCCCTCCCTCCTCCCCAGGGACAGAGGGGCCACCTGCCTGGCCCTCCCCCCTCCTTCCTCCCCAGGGACAGAGGGGCCGCCTGTCCGGCCCTCCCTCCACCCCAGGGACAGAGGGGCCGCCTGTCCGGCCCTCCCTCCACCCCAGGGACAGAGGGGCTGCCTGTCCGGCTCTCCCTCCTCCCCAGGGACAGAGGGGCCGCCTGTCCGGCCCTCCCTCCACCCCAGGGACAGAGGGGCCGCCTGTCCGGCCCTCCCTCCACCCCAGGGACAGAGGGGCTGCCTGTCCGGCTCTCCCTCCTCCCCAGGGACAGAGGGGCCGCCTGTCCGGCCCTCCCTCCACCCCAGGGACAGAGGGGCGCCTGTCCACCCCTCCCTCCTCCCCAGGGACAGAGGGGCCACCTGTCCACCTCTCCCTCCACCCCAGGGACAGAGGGGCTGCCTGTCCAGCTCTCCCCCCTCCCTCCACCCCAGGGACAGAGGGCCACCTGCCCGGCCCTCCCCCCTCCCTCCACCCCAGGGGTCCTACCTAGGACGTAGATTTTCCCTTGGTGCACGGTGACCCCCAGCGCGCTCCGCCGGTGTCTCATGGGGGCCACGAAGCTCCAAGTCTCCGTCTCCACGTCATAGCGCTCCACACTGTTGAGCTGGTCCTGCCCGTCGTAGCCCCCCGCCGCGTAGATACAGTTGTGCAGCACGCAGACCCCTAACAGCCGGGAGGAGGAGGCAGTGAGTGTGGGGGGCGGTCACTGTAGGGCCAGGCCCTTAGGGTCCCCAGCTGCCACCCACCCACCACGCGCACACACACAATCTAGCCCAAGGAGACGAGCCGAAAAGCAGGCTGGCGCGTCCCGACTCTTCCATGAGGGTTGAAAAGGTGGTCGGGCTCCCCCAGGCCTGACCCGAGCCCTGCCCACCCCACACTCCCGGGGGGTCTTCTGCACACCGGGCGCGCACCTGCCCCACTGCGGATGCTGTTCATGGGGGTGACCATTCGCCATTCGTCCCTCTCCGGGTAGTAGCACTCGGCCGAGCTGAGGCGGTTTGTGCCGTCGAAGCCCCCGACCGCATACAGCAGGCGGTTGAGCACGGCCACTCCGACCCCGATCCTGCGGGTCAGCATTGGGGACACCAGGTGCCACTCGTCGCGCTCCGGCTCGTACCTGCAAAGGGGCGGGCACACGCGATGGTGACAGCAGCTGACCCTGGAGAGGGGCGTCCCAGGGGTCCGGCTCCACGGCTCCCCCCTCCAGGAGCCACCAGCAACTCCATTCGCCAGATGAGAGCACTGAAGCCCAGGGGCCTCTGTTGTTCCGGGCCGTGTGCTCGACCCCTGAGCCCCCGGCCCGGCCCTGGCGGACCCCTCAGCCCCTCGGCACCGCTCCGGGCCGAGGCGGAGCACTGCTGAGATTCCTCCCACCTGTGACAGGAGACAGGCGGGAGAGGAGCTGGGCGGGATGGGGGGTCACTGCAGAGCCCCGATTCCTCCATGGGGGACAGTTGAACCCCACCACCCGAGTCACAGCCCACAGACATTTCAGTTCTCGGGGGAGCATTGGGGTGTGCTGGGGTGGGCTCCCAAAGGGGCTGCAGTGCCACGGGGCCTCGTCTCCCCAGGCAGCGTCCGCTGCGCGGGAGGGTACCTGGGGGTCTGTGAGGTGTGGTGGGATTAACTTAGGGAAGGCTGAACATCTCTGATCCAAAAATTTAAAAATAACAGAGCTTTGGTCAAGGCCCGACAGGATCCCATAGGTGCACAATTGCACGCTGGGCACTGTGTGATGACCAGGTTGTGTGGAGTGTGGGTGTGTGAAGGTGTGCAGGACACACAGATGAGCTTCCAGTGTGAAATCCCAAATTCCTGGGCCTGGCGCAGTACCCTAGTGGCTAAAGTCCTCGCCTTGCATGTGCCAGGATCCCACGGGGATGCTGGTTCTAATTCCGGCAGCTCCACTTCCCACCCAGCTCCCTGCTTGTGGCCTGGGAAAGCAGTGGAGGACGGCCCAAAGCCTTGGGACCCTGCACCCGCGTGGGAGACCCGGAAGAGGCTCCTGGCTCCTGATCGGCTCAGAGCTGTGGCTGGTGCAGCCTCTTGGGGAGTGAATCATCAGACTGAAGACGTTCCTCTCTGTCTCTCCTCCTCTCTGTAGATCTGACTTTCCAATAAAAATAAATAATAAACTTTAAAGCCCTGCCGGGACAGGTGGTCCAAGATCATGGATTACAAACCCCCCCAGGAAGTTAAACTTCACCTGGGGACTTGGGGGGGCGAGCAAGGAAAAGCACTTGGCATGGGGTGGGGGCACGCGCTGGTTCCCGAGGTGGGGACGTGGCCGTGCGGGGCTCCCTCCCCCAGGAGCCCAGGGCCGCCCGCGCCCCCACGGCGTCACCTCTCCACGCTGTTGTGGTGGATACAGCCGTGGGAGCCGCCCACCGCGTAAATGTGTCCGTCGATGACGCCGACTCCGATGCGGTTGCGCGGCACGCTCATGGAGGCGCAGGGCGACCACTGGTTGGTCATGGGGTTGTAGCAGTCCAGGGCGCTGGAGTCGGTGTTGCCCTCCGGGGAGTTGTTGCGTCCGCCCACGGCGTAGAGCAGCCCGCCCACCACGCAGCCGGCCAGGCCGCTCCTGGGCACCTGCAGGTCGGCCAGGCGCAGCCACGTGCCGTCGCTGGGGTTGTAGGCCTCCAGGTAGCTGAGGGACTGGCGGTAGTAGCCGCCGGCCGTGTAGATGAGCCGGCCCACCTTGGGCGCGCGGCAGGGCATCACCCGCGTGGGCTTGTGCAGGGTCAGTTCCTGGAAGACCTTGACCAGGTAGTCCTTGCAGCGCGAGTCCGACCGCAGGATCTCGCACTTCTGCAGCTGCATCTGCAGGAAGTGCGGCGTGAGCGAGTGGCAGCGCACGGCCCGCAGCAGCGCCTGCACGTAGAAGCGCCGCTGCTCGCAGTCGTACTTGACCCAGTTGATGCAGGCGTGGAACACCTCCGACTCGCAGCGCACGTTCAGGTCGTCCCGGCTGATGAGCGTTACCAACTGGCAGTGGGACAGGTTGAAGAACTCCTCCTGCTTGGCCACCTGCGGGGGGAGCCGGGGGCGGGGTGCTGGCCTGAGTCCTGGGTGCCTCCTCCAATGCCCCACCTCACCCCTCACCTAGCTGAGAGCCCTCCGCGCTCAAGACACTTAATGTGGGCCTGGCGCAGTAGCCTAGCGACAAAAGTCCTTTCCTTGCACATACGGGGATCCCATATGGGCACTGGTTCATATCCCAGCAGCCGTCCTCCACTGCTTTCCCGGGCCACAGGCAGGGAGCTGCATGGGAAGTGGAGCTGCCGGGATTAGAACCGGCGCCCATATGGGAGCCCAATGCGTTCAAGGTGAGGACTTGAGCCGCTAGGCCACCGCACTGGGCCCAACTCATGTCTTTTAAACTAACAAAGAAATCTCCTTATAGGGGGAGAAGGGCAGTATTTGGGATTTGGAATCCTGGGTTTTGAAATCTCTGCATACACGTAGCCAGGAAAAGTTAGGGCCCGGGAGCGGAGTCTGCACTAGGATCGACTCAGATCTACTCAGGCGCGCTTCCACAAGTCCACACGGGGAGAAACGCGGGCTGAGAGGCAGGCAGAGTTTGGTGCAAACATATTTTGAAATCTATGCACCTCTTTTTTTTTGTAACATCTATTTCCTGCCAATATCCAGAAGGACCGTTCCCGCGTGCGGCTTGTCCGCCGCCCAAAGGTGGCTGCATACGCGGTCTGCAGCACGCCCTTGTCGTGGGAGGTCAGCTCTGGCATTTTCCACAGGCGGCCAGCTCCGGTCACTGTCTGGGGGAGTCCGCGGAGGGTGGGGCACCGGGGAGCCCAGTTAAGGCGCAGCTTCTATCCTCACGTTAGCACGAAGCCGGTCACACCACGGTGACTTGCTTTTTTCTGTTCACTTCCTCCATAAACCAAAACGAAAGCTAACCGTGGCAGCGGGACGGGCGGCGTGGCCCCAGCATGACTCAGGGGTCAGCTGGGCCGTAAGAGGCCTCTGCCCCGGCTGTTCCGTGGGCATTCTGCTGATCGGCTGCCCAGCACAGCCCGGGGTTTGGCCGCGATCGGGGTCACCGCATCCTACCTGGAACCCTTGACCCCAGGGCAACTAAGGAGTTCGGGGGGAGGGGGAGTTAAAGAAAAAAGTCACTTTGCTTACTGTCAGCCAGTTCTCAGCCGCTCTCCCCGCCATGGAGGGGTGGCCGGGCTGCCCTCGCTGTCCCCGCCATGGAGGGGTGGCCAGGCTGCCCTCTCTGTCCCCGCCATGGAGGGGTGGCCGGGCTGCCCTCTCTCTCCCATGGAGGGGTGGCCGGGCTGCCCTCTCTCTCCCATGGAGGGGTGGCCGGGCTGCCCTCGCTGTCCCCGCCATGGAGGGGTGGCCGGGCTGCCCTCTCTGTCCCATGGAGGGGTGGCCGGGCTGCCCTCTCTGTCCCCGCCATGGAGGGGTGGCCGGGCTGCCCTCTCTGTCCCCGCCATGGAGGGGTGGCCGGGCTGCCCTCGCTGTCCCCGCCATGGAGGGGTGGCCGGGCTGCCCTCGCTGTCCCCGCCATGGAGGGGTGGCCGGGCTGCCCTCGCTGTCCCCGCCATGGAGGGGTGGCCAGGCTGCCCTCTCTCTCCCATGGAGGGGTGGCCGGGCTGCCCTCTCTCCCCCGCCATGGAGGGGTGGCCGGGCTGCCCTCGCTGTCCCCGCCATGGAGGGGTGGCCGGGCTGCCCTCGCTGTCCCCGCCATGGAGGGGTGGCCGGGCTGCCCTCTCTCCCCCGCCATGGAGGGGTGGCCGGGCTGCCCTCCCACGCCCACTCGGGGCTATAACCTGCCCGTTTGCCTGTCACAGCAGGGGGCCCCAACCCGCAGCCCCCCAGTCCCCGCTCACCTCCCCGAAGTGCATGTAGATGTACTCCCGGGCCCGCTGGTGCAGCTCCGTGCAGCCGATCTGCTCGGCGAAGTTGGCGATGCCAATGGCGTTGCTGGGGTCGAGCTGCTGCACCAGGAAGTCGCTGCAGGCCCGCACGACGCTGTCGATCTGGTACATGACCGCGCCGTTCATCACGTGCAGCACGCACTTCTCGCCCATGGAGATGGACGCCGTGTAGGCGAACTCGATGAGGCGCTCCATGACCTGGGGGTGGATGCCCTCGATGGACACCACCTCCATGCCCTGCTCCCGCAGTCCGTTGGTGAACATGGCCTTGAACACGGGGCTGGACGAGGCCAGCACCACCTTGTGAGCCATGAACTGGGCGGCCGGCGTGCCCTCGTACTTGACCTGCAGCGTGACGTCGCACAGCTGCTGGCTCAGCCGCAGCTCATTCATGATGCCGAAGGCCTGTTTGGTGTGGTCCTCCAGCGTGTAGCTGAAGGTGCGGTTGCCGTGCTGCGAGGGGGTCACCTCGGCCTTGCACTCGGTGGAGGCGTACATGGCCGTGTCCCCCGGCCCTCGGGGCTGTGACGGCTGCTGGGGCAGGAATCAGCTGTGGGCCTCGGCCCGGCTAAGCTCGGGTTCCGGCCGCATGAGGTTCCGAGTGACCAGGGACTGCGCTCTCCCGCACGGTCAGGGGCCTGGAGGAAATGGGAGCGAGGGCTGGGAGAGGGGACAGGCCGGCACCTGCCAGCCACCCCCTGGTCACATAAAAACCGAACATACAACCGTGCTTTCCTTCCCAAGCAAAGGTGGTGAAGGGCATGTGTGTGTCCGTTCAGGCACCCTAACTTCTCCCCATCCCTGGCCCCCAGTCTCTTCAGACACAAGTCACTTCCTGCCTCCCTTGCACAGTGTGGGTCAACTTCAACCTTCACTCAACCCCTGCTACATCTATGGAGCGCCGACTGTGTGCCAGGCCCCTTTGGCGAGCAGGACCCCTCCCCGAGCAGAGGGCCGGCTGGGCCCTGAGGCAAGGGGCAGGAAGAGGCACAGGGAGAGTTGTGAAGGCTTTGGAGCAAAGCCACGGAGACGGAGAGCCAGGGCTTCAGTTGGGGTGGGAAAGCAGAGCCCAAAGATCACGCACCTGCCGAGAGGCGTCCCTCCCCCACACATCCTGGGGCTCAGGACACTGGACACACTCCCGCACCCCGGTCCCTCGGTCCCCAGCTCTCAGAGGGCAGGGAGCTTCCCGTCCCTGTGGGCGAGCGCTGGGGCCACCCTCTCCTGCGTGTCCCCGCGGCCTGGCACTGCACAAGAATCCAGTAAGCCCGCTGGCTGGCCGGCTGCCCACTCCACCACAGTGCCAACCCGTGCGCCATCCTCCACCGGGCCCAGCGCGCCACTTGGCCCCCTCTCCCGGGTGAGCCCCGGGGCTTGCCTCTCTCGATCTTTGGCCAATCGGTCAACGGCGCCCCTGGACACCCAGCACTTCCCCCCCGCCGCGAAGCAACAAGGGAGGGGGCACTGCGCATGCCCCGCCAGAGCCGCCCGAGCCAGGCCCGGAGAAGGAAGTGACCCCGCGGCGGCCTCTGGACGGCCAAACCCCAACGCGCGCACCAAAGCCCCCGCCAACGCCTCGGGATCCCCACCCTCCCTGGCTCGGGTCTCCCTGCAAACGTCCGTGCCTTTTCCGGGCCACCCCGCGAGTGGGAACCAAAAATAACCATCATCCTAGGTCTCCCCGCGGGGGCCGCGCCTTCCTGGGCCCGCTCCACGGAGCCGGGGAGAGGTCGGGCGCGGCGCCCCAGTTCCCCGGCCCCCCGGGACACCATCTCCGAGGCGCGCGAGGCCCACGGGTGTCCGGCAGCACCGGCACAGGCCGCCTCACTCACCCCGCCATGGTCGCGCTCGGGCTCCGCCTCCGCCGCCCGAGCCTGGGCGCCTCCATCGCTGCGCGCCGGCGGGGGAGGGGAAGGGGAGGCGCGGAGCGCGTAGGTCACCGTGACTAAGCAGAGCGCGCCGCCCGCCTGTCAGAATAAGAGTCTTGGAGGCCACTTGGCCTCGGGCTGGGGACAGCGCCGGCCCCGCCCGCGGTCGCCAGGCAGCGAGGACCACAGAGCTAGCCACGCGGGCCGCGGGAAGTCGGCCTGCGCCCGCGTGCTCCGTGGGGGTAGGGGGGCAGAGTCCGCTCGAGGAGGCCCCGTGCGCACCTGCCCACGGCCACCACCCCTGCTTCGCTCACCTGCGTCCCACAGGGCGGGTGGCGATGGCCAGGACGCGGGCACGGTGGGTGCCACCCGCGCGCTGCGCTTCCGGGGTGCGGTGGGGGGGGTGCGGGGTGGCTGCTGCCTGTACCTTGGCTTCGTCGGAACCCCACGGGCGCCCGTGTGCGAGTGCTGGGGCGTGGGTCTGTGGGTGTAGGGGAGGGGGCGGCCTCCTGGACACCCGGGGAAGGAGGCAGGCCGGGAGAAGGCCAGGCAGTTCTCCGCCTTCCCGCACGTGCCTTGGCGAGGATGGGGCTTCGGGCGAGGGTGCAGGCGCAGCTGGTAATTGCTTTCCTCGCCCTGTCTCTTCCCTCTGCCAGGTTTTATGGCGAGGGCTTCTGGGCGCAGCTAGGAAAGTCCACCTTACCTGGGTTCCTGTTGTCTTTGCAGGGATTCGAACCCTCGGCCCACCTTTGGCTAGCTCTGTGCTCACCTCCTCACTTCCTTCGGCCTCAGTTTTCATCCTGTCCCATGCTGGGGTGGACAAAAGGCAGTAAGGATTCGCCACATTTGCTGTGGATCTTTTATTATTATTATTAAAGATTAATTTATTTTCATTGCAAAGTCAGATATACAGAGAGGAAGATCTTCCACCCAATGGTTCACTCCCCAAGTGAGCACAGCGGTCGGAGCTGAACCAATCCGAAGCCGGGAGCCTGGAACTTCCAGGATGCCAAGGCCCTGGGCCGTCCTCGGCTGCCCTCCCAGGCCACAGGCAGGGAGCTGGATGGGAAGTGGGGCAGCCAGGATGTGAACTGGCTCCCATATGAGATCCTGGTCATTGCACCAGGCCTGAATAAATAAAACTTTTTAAAATAAAATAATAATTTACCGGGGATATATGTTCAGGTCAAGTGTGGCCCTGGCCACGCCTGGCTGCATCTCTGAGTGCGGCTTCCTGCCGCTGTGCAAGTCCTGGGTTTGGGAGGCCTGGCCAGCTTCCAGCTGCAGCCGGCCTCATGCCAGTGATGTGGGCACCTGAGGAAGGAGCCAGGCCATGGGAGTTCTCTTTTTCCCCCCTCTGTACTGGGTCTCCCGAACAATCTAACCAATCATGTCTAACACTCTGGTTGGCATCAATGATGGCCACCCGAAAGCTGGTTCCGTCCACTGCCAGAGGACACAGAGGGAAGCCAGGTCTCCCACCGGGTGCAGGGTCCCAAGGCTGTGGGCCGTCCTCCACTGCTCTCCCAGGCCACAGGCAGGGAGCTGGATGGGAAGTGGGGCAGCTGGGACTCAAACCAAGTTCCTATATGGTATGCTTGTGCTTGCAAGGGGAAGGTTAGCCAATTGAGCCATTGTGCCAGCTCTCTAGACTTTTAAAATTTATTTGATAGGCAAAGTGGGAGTGGCAGAACAAGATCTTGCATCTGCTGCCCCACTCCCCAAATGCCTGCAAGAGCTATGAGTGGGTCCGGCCGAAGCTGGAGCGTGGAGCTCCATCTGGCTCTCCCGCGGGACTGGCACAGTCAGGTGCTTGGCTCATCATTCATTGCTGGCTTTCCCAGGCCGTGAGCAGGGAGCCAAGCCGGAAGTGGAGCAGCCGGGTTTGGAACCGGCAATTTGTTTTTTTTGTTTTTTTGTTTTTAAGGCAGAGTAATTGAGAGAGAAGGCAGTGAGGGTCGCGGGAGGGAGGGGAGGAGGAGACTGGGGGGATGAGAGACCTTCTGTGCATGGATTCACTCCCCCAAGTGGCTGCAGCATCCGGGACTGTGCCAGGCCACAGCCAGCAGCCAGAACACCAAGCGGTTCTCCCCTGAGTGGCTGACAGCGAGTCCTGACCTGACGCCTGGCAGGGTACCCCAAGCTACAGTCAGGTTGTAGCAGCATTCAAACCCAGAGAACCAACAACCGGGACCCCGCCCTCACCGAGCACCTTTTGATTTCTGCGAAAAATCTAATCCTTATCTAGCCTCACATCACTAAATACCAAACCTGTTAGGGGTAAGAGATCCGATGGAGGCTCCCTCCTGTTTTCCTGGAAGATTTGAGGACCCCGGAGTGGGGGTGCAGGGGCAGGAATGCCAAGGAATCTGGGAATCTGGTCCGGTTCAGAGAGTGACCCTAGATTGATGGATCGTGTTGGGTTGGTTCCCGTCCCCCCACACCTCCAGTGTGGCACCAGGTGGACACAGGTCCCCCAGGCTGGGTCAGCGGCCACCTGCAGTTCCACGTCCTTCCGGAAGGGGGCGGCCCTGCAGTCTGCATGGGAAGCCGGACGCCCCCCAGGGCCAGCGCTGCCTGGGCACGGGTCAAGAATGCGCCCTGGCCCTCGCGCCTGCAGCCCTAAAAGGGCACAGGCAGGGGGCCCTGGTGTCTCCCACCAGGCAGGAATGCAGACTTGGGAGAGGAAGGAGTGAGTGGATGCAGCGGCTTGCCAGATCCAGTGGGAAGAGGGGTGAGGGTAAGACGCCAGGCGCAGCCTTGACGGCCCTTGTGGGGACGCACGGAGGGTGGGGGTGAGGCATTGCCCTCCCCGTGTCCCTGGGCAGAACGCTCAGTTTCACAAGCGCCGGGGGACTTGGCACTCTCTTCTCTGTTGCGGGATTTTGGTATCAATACCCAGGCAGTTCCAGTCATCCCCTTGGCATCTCCGCCTCCACCGTGCCCGCCTTGTCGCCTACACATTGCGTTCCTTACAAAGAGGGGAGCAGGGGTTGAGATGCCCCTTAGAGCGGCTCCTAAGGACGATCCCGGCTTTTGGCCGAGGCAGACAGCATGTGTTGGCACAAGCAACTGAGTGTTTGCCCCGTTGGCTCCCGGTGTCCGTGTTGGTCCACCCTAGAACTTTAAGGAGGCGAGCGATGACTGGGAGACCCCTGTGGCTCGCACTTTTCCTGGCCTCTTGTCACACCGCCTTTCAAAAAAACAAAATGTGCGGAACAGTACTTGCAGCAAGGATGCCAGGCCAACAGCTCAGTCAGCAGCAAGTTTGGGTACCAGTCTCCCCGCGGCCACAGGTGCGCTGGGGCTGCCGGTGGAGCCGCTGGTATCCAATCCATCCAGCTGCTGCGGCGACGAGCGCTCCGAGCGGCTGGAGCTGATGTCCAGGCCCGGGGGCAGGCAGTGGCGCAGGCCGCGCGAAGGCCCAGTGGCGCTCGGGGACTGCTGTGAGCCTGGCTGGCCCCGGCCGCAGGGCCGGCGGCCGCAGCAGACGAGTCGCAAGAGCGCGTGGCGCAGGTCGCGGTTGGTGAGTGTGTAGATGACGGGGTTGAGGAGCGAGTTGGCCATGGCCAAGCCCAAGAAGGGATCAGCCTGCAGGAGCACAGGACAGGCGCGCGCGGGGCATGCCACGTCCAGCAGCAACAGCAGGAAGAGAGGACCCCAACACGCCACGAAGGCCAGGAGGACTACGCTGAGCGTGCGCAGCAACGCCAGGGAGCGTGGCGTCCGTCGTGCGCGGCTCGACGTCCCCCGGCCAGCCCTGGGTTGTGCCCGCAGGCGCCTGGCGTTGGCGCGCACCTGGCAGTAGATGCGCGCGTAGAGCGCACAGATGGTGGCCAAGATACCCAGGAAGACCAGCACGCAGAAGAGCACGTAGGCCTTAGCGTAGAGCGGCAGGACCGTGGAGCAGGAGTCCAGGCGACCCAGGCAGTTCCAGCCCAGCGCGGGCAGCAGCCCGAGGAGCAGCGACACGCCCCAGGCCGTCCCCGCCAGCGCCAGCGTGCGTCCCCGACTGGCGGCCGGCGCGGGACCCCGGCGCGCCATGGTGAGGTGGCGCTCCAGTGCGATGGCCAAGAGACTGAGCACCGAGGCGCCGAGCGCCACGAAGACGCCTCCCTCGCGGGCAAACCAGAGCGCCGGCGACAGTCGCAGCGTGAGCGGCCCGGAGAGCAGGATGTTGGTGGCGTAGGCGGCGCCGGCCAGCAGGTCGGACAGCGTGAGGCTCCCCAGGAGCAGGAACATGGGCGCGTGAAAGCGCGGGTGGCGCGCGAGCACGAAGAGCACGGCCAAGTTCTCCAGCACGATGAAGGCGCACACGGCCAGGCAGACGACGGCGTCGGCGCGCAGGCCCGCGCCCGGCTGGTAGCGCGCCCCGCGGAGCTTGCCCGTGTAGTTGTAGTGCAGCGCAATGACCTCGCTCACCGGCGCGGGGCGCAGCAGGCTGGGCTCCATGGGGCCGCCGGCCCCGGGCTGCGAAAAGGCCGAGGGGCATGGGTCAGGGCGGCCACCCTCCACCCAGCCCTGCTGGCGGCCCTACGGAGATGGGAACCTATGGGTGTCCAGTGTGCAAATGAGAGGGGAGGGTGTCCGGGGAGACGCGCGTGCACATCTCGAGAGGGCAAAGGGTGACACCCCGTTTCACAAACAAGGGCCCCTTACAACACCTACAATCAGGGCTGCCCGGAGGTGCCTTCAGCCGGGTGGCTAAGGCAGCTTGGGCCGCTGGGGCAGTTGCTGCTTCCCCACTGCCTGCTGAAGTGGTCTGTCCTCAGAGGTGGGCGGCTCCAGGCCCTGGGCCCTGCCGCCCACCCGGGAGACCTGCATGAACTTCCCTGCTCCTGGCTCCAACCATTTCTGGGAAAGCAAGCCAACATTGGGAATCTCTCTCTCTCTCTCTCTCTCTCTCTCTCTCTCTCTCTGCCTCTCAAAGTCATATAAAGGCATGCCCCCCTTCCACACACACGTCTCCCCATTCAGGAACGCCCAGAACAAAGGGTGGGAGGCGTGCATGGTCACACCCCATCACAGA